TGGTAAGCTGTTGCATTCTTAGCAAATTCAGACACTGCTAAGAAAAATAGTTCAAAAATAAGATTGTCTTTCTCCAAAGCACTCAGTGGCTCCTTTGAGACAAGGATTTTGAGGCTCCATCTCACATACTTTGAGCATGTAGCCAGGAGGGACTAGTCCTTGGAGAAGGACGTCATGCTTGGAAGGGTGGACGATTAGCACAAGAGGAGAGGACCCTGCATGAGATGGATTGACAGTGACTGTAGAAATGGGGTCAGATGTGTCAGAAGTGGTGAGTTTGGCTCAGGACAGAGCCAGATTCAGAGCCATTGTTTATAGGGTCTTTAGGAGTCATGGTCAGCTCCTAACATAACAGCAACAAAGCACTAACTTAATTATGAGAATGAGAGAACATTGTTGTTACCAAAAAGCTTAGCTTCTGCCACCTGGGAAACCAGTCTTGAAGACACAGACTGGAGTGGATTCAGTCAGATTTGTTATATACTAATATTTTGGGGGTTGGGGAGGAAGAGCTTCCTGAATCTGCCTCTCTTCCTTCAAGACTTCAAGACTTCTATAGGGAAGACACAAAACAGCAGAATGTAATCCAGCTTATTCCTTCTCTTTGTCCTGATGATCTTATTCTAGACAGAATCTCCTTCTCTCCTCTTGCGATCATATTCTAGGCTAGTTGAGCAAGATAGCTTAATGTCATGACTGAAAAGGAGAAATTCTCACCTATGGAATGTAGGGCTTAAGAGACATAAATCTTAACTAAAAGACTTGATCCTCTCTTAATTGCCCTCATAACAGAAGTACTTTAGCTTCATAAGGAGCCCTTCCTAAGTTATCCTGCTAGACTAGGAGGAAACTTCTTCCCTTGGTTACAAGGAAACCAGAAGAACTACCACTGGTCTGGTCTCTAAAGTATCACAGTAGAAGATCTAACAGAGTGGGCATAAATAGGAAACAAACCTGAAAAACATTAAAAAACAAGGCTGGAGAAGAACATGGAATATCCCGTAGACTGCCACAAGAACAAAGAAATATGTCTTGGAAAATGTACAGCCAGAGTGTTCCTTGGAGGCAAAGACAACAAAGCTTAATCTTTCACACTGTGGACATGTAGCTAGGTAAGGTTATTCCTTGGAAAGGGACATCATGCTTAGGAAGGTGAGAGTTAGTGAAAGAGAGGAAGACCCCAATGAGATGGATTGACACAGTGACTGAATCAGTGGGGTCTGGTGTGTCAGAAATGTTAAGGATTAGGGGAGCTCAGGTGGCCTAGTGGCAAGAAGCTGCAACTACAGTCCCAGAGGTGCACGGTTCAAATCCACCAGATGCTCTGCCGGGGAAGGAGGGGCAGTCTCCTCCTGAACCAGTCAGATCTGATTTGACGGTACACACACACACAAATAATAAAATAAAATAAAAATTTTTAAAAAGTAAATTAGAAATGTTAAGGATGGCAAAGAATAGGGCAGGGTTCAGGGTGGCTGGCTATGCATAGGATCAGTGTGAGTAATTAAGTAGAAGGCACCTTAAAAAAACTGGTAGAGACAGGTGTAACCCCTGAGTCTTGGCCTTTATTCACAGCCTTCAGACCTAGGATAATCTTGCCCCCTATGGCTCAGCTTTCAGCCAGACCATAGAAATCAAAAGAATAAAAAAATTGCACAATCAATAAGAGTGCATCTGAATTCCAAAATCAATCTCCATAATAGTCTATGTGTTTCCTACTGCCAAAGGGGCCCTTTAGAGTAGTGAGAGAAGATCTTCACCCTGAAACCCACAGCGTCCCTTTTCAGCAGGAAGTAGCTAAGAGAATACGCCGTCCCCTTTTCCTTATGACTCAGGGTGAAGTCTCTCTCAGGGAGGAGTGATAGGGAATGGCAAAGGATACACTGACAAAGAAGATTAATCGGAACTGGCTTTGACAAGCACTGTGGCATTTGGACAAGAACAAACTGGGAGGAGGGTAGAGAGAATAGTGCAACAATGAATGAGTGGAAGCCCAAAATCTCTGTAAATGTTTATGAAAATTAATAAAATATAATTATAGGAAAAAAAAAACTGTATGTGTGTGCATATACACACATATCCATTTCCTGTATGAAATGTTAATGTTAGGATGTGGAATAAAGAATAAGTTTTCTTTCTAGTTTTTTGTGTTCAGGAAAGCCATATAGGCTATTCACACCCAATGACAGTGTATTTATTTTTATTGTTCAGTACTGAAAAGCCATTTACTTACAGTGTTCATTTAGGATCACATAAGGGAGCCATTTTGTTGATTGCTTATTTAATTTTTTTTTTTAATTCAGATTGGCCCAAGAGAGAGAAGACACAAAAGCAAAACAAGAAAACTCAATAAAAGGCAACACTAACCCATTAAGAAAGATGGAAATGACTGATTTGCATGTGAAAGCAGTGCCAGGAACAGAAGTACCAGGACGGAAAGTGAGTTTTCTCTGGTAACCCTGGCTAGGCAAGGTACCAACGCCTTCAGCCAGACGACCAGGGATGTCAGGCTGGAAGCCAATTTTATTCCCATTCTTTTTAAACACCATGGACAGTGCTTTTTCTTTTCATGCTATGGTTAAAACTCTGGTAAGCACAGTTCCATACAAGTTGTAGAGAAATAAGCAGAGGGGATGAGGAGCAGTCATTCACACAGTCTTCATAATGCCTCAGTCCTGCATAGCACCTCTGTGGCTTCTGCCAGATTAGTGTGAGAGTCACCCTTTTCTGTTTGTCCCTCACATTTTTTTCCCTTTGGTAATTTTCCTTTATTGTCGGAAAACTATACCCTAAAATGACCCTGGCCCACTCTTAGCTCATACATTCTGTACAAATTCTATAGTGTGCTGGTTAAGATGATCTTTTACTTTTGTAACATGTATAGTAAATGCATTCTTATTTTCCCTTTTTAGGACTGGGTTGTGAGTAAATTTGGAAGAATCTTACCTGTCCTTCACCTTAAGAATCATCTTAAACATAAAATATCCTTTTGATGGACTTTTTGTGGTTAATTAGTATTTATCATAGTATGTCATTTTTTTTTAAAAGAAAGATTTCCATTTAATTTTTACAATAAAGATTTAGTGCACAAATACAGCCCAAAGCCAAGAGAAAAATAGCTTTGCTATGTCATTTTCCTAAGAGATGCACAATCCTCTCTGAGTTCTGGGTTTCACAGAAGGAATACTTTATACTATGTATATCGAATTGATGTGCAAGTGTGCAATAAATATAGACACATTCCTTTCTGTTTTACATAGTTCTATTCAGTTGGTCAAGCTGGGATTTAGAAATGTGGAATATGTTTTTTTAAGTTTGCTTTAAACCTTTGGGAGCATAATTGGTAAGGGGTTGTGCTGCTTGCCAAAAGCTACCACCACAGGTTTAAATCCAGCTACTGCTCTTTAGGAGAAAGTTGAGCAGCATCCTCCTATGCAGTTACAACCTCACAAACCCACCTATGTATCAGCTGTTGATTGCTTTTTGACTCAATAACAGTGAGCTGAATTAAGTTTATACCTTTAAAATTGAGCTCATTTTATCAGCAAATCTCTAGGCCTTTATAATTGTTTCCATTTCTAGATAAGACCTAATCATCTGTGTTTGAAACATTAGCGGATATAATGAGATTTTCTATATAAAGTTCCATAAAATCTATTTCATTATTAATATACCTGTTTTTTCCCGTTTCCTTTGATGAGCTAAGGTGGTTGCTAACAGATCAATGTCATTAAGTTAAGGCTCTATAAAATACCTTAGCACTCTGAGTTGTATCCTTTAAAACTTTTAATCCATTCTAGTTTAGTAGATAAGGGATAGAAAGAAGTTCAGGAAAGCATAGATAGAAAATATGTAGCAGGCAAGAGAATGATTGGTAGGGAAATATTATGAACCCAGGATGATCCAAGTGACCTTAAGCAAATAAGGACAGGTTATCTGTCAGGGAAACATGAGCAGAGGACATTTGTCTCCACTTTTTGTATCATTCAGTGAGGAAGCAGAAACCCTTCAAGATATTTCAGACAAGTACTTAACAACCAAAAAAATCAAACTCTACCATTCTACTCATGATCCCAAAGAACAGAGTAGAACTGTAGGTTTCCAAAGCTGTACGTTTTTATTAACATCAGCTGCCTCATCTTTCTTTCCTCTTTGGAGTAGATGGTGGATTCAAACTGGCAAACTTTTAGATAGAAGCCTGTCACTTAATCCACTATACCACCACAGTCCCTTTTTTAATCAGAGGGAATGTAATACACATGTTGTTATTAGGTGTCATCGAGTCAAGTATGACTTATAGCAACCTTGTGAACAACAGATATGAACCCTGTCCAATTCTGAGCCATCCTCACCATCTCTGACACACTTGTACCCATTGCTGTAGTCACAGGTCCAGTCCATCTCATCAAGGGTCATCCTCTCTTTCACTTACCACAGCTGGTCTTAAAGATGCCAGAGGAGCAAAAAACTGATGATGAGGTTTCCCAAACATTACTAACTGGACCAAATAGCTGTCACTCCCGAGGCTCCAAGTCATTGCTGTTGAGTCTACTTTCCATCTGGTTTCCAAGGTGGACAAGCCCACCTTTTCCTGAGTGGCTGGTAGATTCAGATGGCCAGAGATATGTGGACTTGGCACTAGCAGGACAGCTCCCTATAGCCTGCACCACCAGAGTACCTGAGGCTAGAGGAAGGAAAACTCACCAGTGTCCTTTATTGAGGTTACTGCACCTCAAGCCAGATCAAGGCCTCAGCAAAATTGTTGCTGGCACTCCAACTCACTGCAGCCGAGTCAGAATCAATTTGTGGCTTACCCTCCATCGGGTTTCTGGGGCTGTAAATCACACAGGATATTTCTCTTTCTCCTGAATACCAGGAAGGTGTGGCCTTTGGGGAAGCAGCATAACTCCCTACAGACCACATCACCAGAGCTTGCCAGTGACACTAAAGTCAGGGAGATAGTGGCTTCTTCTTTTTGATTGCTGACTTCATCTAATCGCAGCCACTAACATCAGGGAGAATAGTGTTGAAGGAGCAGGCTGTGAACACACCTCCAGTGAGCTGCTGATTGAGCAGGGCTTCCAGCCAAGTCAGCCTAGTTTGTTCCTAGCCAAGGAAGCAACATTCAGACATACCAAATTGGAACAAACTGGAGCAGTAATTGGAATGAGCAAAAATTACAAATTGCAGCCCTGCAACTCCATTAGGTTCTGATAGCAACCAAATCTTACCAGTACAGTGGAAGTCAGCTGTTGTTCCGGACTCAAAGTTGGTAGCATAGTGGGGAAGCAACAGTGCCAAGTTCAAAACTGATAGTCAACTACTATTTTGAACATGTTACTTTCCATAAGTTCCCCAATAATGCCGTCTGCTGCCTCAGACTCCAAAAAGGGCTCACTACTCCCTTCCCAAGACTCCTATCCCATTGTCACCTAAATTTTAAAAGTTAGGGCTCTTTCTGTTTCCTTTAAGATCTATGAAATGCATTTTAGTGATTGTGTAGTGTGTGAAGTGGACTTCATTGAGCTAGGAAAATCAGGAGAGTTGAGATGAGTTAATGTTGAAAAGACAGGTATTTGAAAAGAAAAAAAGATAAATGTTGTATATCTCTGTCATCCTTCATCCTCCAATTCTCTGATTCACAATGACCGCTTAATGGATTCACACTTCTCGTTTACTTGAACCTGTGTACTTAGAATATAATTTGAATAGGTTTGCTATTATGTCTTAAGGTATTTCTGTCAACTAATAATGGTAGTTCTTGATTTTGCCTTTTACTAGTACACTCTTCATTCAGTTTGATTAGAACCTAGTTTAAGACAATTATGTGCCCAAGATTAAACAATGTTTCTGTTTGTTTTATCAGATTGATAAATTTTTCTAAAACCTAGTACTTTTGTTTTGTTCCTTCACTGTCTGTAACATCATAAAATATGATCCATCAAAATACTGCCACAACCTGAAGAAAATAGAGAATTCTACCAAGGCAATCCCTGTAACCGACCTCACTTGGGAATTGGAAGGAGGGAATGATCCACTGAGTAAGAAACGACGAGGGGAGTTCTTAGACTTTCACAGACCAAAGAAGGCAATCAAAAAGGAGTGCGGTGAAGGTGCCACTGGGTCTCCAGCTATTCCTCCAAGCCCCAGTTCAGGGCTAGGCATTCACCACTTACCACAGCCACAGGCTGCACGAAACATACTTTGTGGGTCCATTCATTTTTCGGAATCTCCCTACACACCTCATTCTGATCATCAGAAATCTAAAAATGTGCCTTTTCAGGTTTGGGACTTCAAGTCTGCCAGAAAGAAAAATAGCATGTCTGATGATGATACCAATTCTGAAGATGAGTTAAGAGCAGTGATTGCAAGAGAGGAACACTTGGGGAAAACTACATGGTCCTCCATAAAAGAATCTGAAGGTGATCCCTTTGTAATTGTAAGGGATGATTTCAAATCAGATGCTCACAAACTTTCCTTTTTAACAAATTTAAATACCAGAACCTCTTGCCAAGCTTGTAATGATGCTACAGGAAATGATTGTAACTGTGACTCGGAAGATACAGATGAAATCATTGCAGTGAAAAAAGTAATTGCTAGAAGGAGCACAAAACATTTAAATACAGAAAAATCTTTATGCAAGAAAGCTGCTTCCAAAGACAGAAAACATTGTGAGGTTTCTGCTGATTGTATTAAAATACAGACGAAGCAGAGGAAAGCAAGGTTAGGGGTCTGTAATGAGATTACGCTTCTCAGTTGTAAATCTCCATCTGGTTCAGGTAGCGGTGAAGTTGCTGGCTGTGTGTCAGAATCATCTGCATCCAAGCGAGGCAGGAGATGTCACCCTACAATGGAGAACTGTCTCCTTGGGGATCCCCCTCTGACTGAATTGGATCAGTTGGATTGTCATGATGAGGCTCTGAAAGAAAGTCTCAGGAGTGATACTCAGGAAGCCAGCAGCTGCTGCCCGTTTGTCAGAACTTCCAAGAGTCACAAGATCCCTGTCAATGCACCCAGAGACAAACAGTGCATTTATCCAGAGGAGATTATGGCTTCTCTCTTAGAAGGAGAAAACATCTGTCATCAACAGAATCTAAAGGAAAATAAATTCCAGGCTTTCAAAGGAATAGGCTCTTTGTATGAAAAGGAATCCAGGAAGAACTCATTAACCATGGGTGTTACCTCTGACCCTACTGGTAAAGATACTAATTCCTTGAAATTTGAGTATCTCAGTAGGGTTTCCACAGGAAGGGGACTCTCCTCTGCTAATGACTCCTCTAGTGAATTCAGTTCATACTGTCAGACAAAGAAGGCAAATGGCCTGTTTCAAAAAAAGACACAGGACACACAGGCCCCTTTTGGGAGCCAGGATAACAAGGTGATTTACCCAGGTAGTTCAGAAATGGGAAGTAAAAGGACTCCTTGTAGTCTGTGGCCATTAAAGTATAATAGGTCTTTAAGTCTTTGTGCAGACATTGACAAGATAGATGTTAATGAAGACCGTCCACATATTACCTCAAATGTAGAAGGTGGTTCAGAAAAGGAAGGTACAGTTTCACACTGCCTTAGATCTCCTGAGAAATCACCAGAGGTCTCTTCTGGAAAAGATAGCCCTGGATGGGGGTCCAATAAGAAGACTCAAGAAAGCAACAGTGATTTTTCCTATTCTGTTAGTAGTGTATCAGATGTTACCAAGGATCGATATTTTCAAGATAATCAAAAGCGCTTGGCAGCCTTAGATGCCAAGCAGAAAGCAAAAGAACTGCAAAAGAAGCTGGTTCATAATGCTCTAGCAAACTTGGTAAGTATATTCCAAATCTATTTATTTAACAACTCCCAATTCATAGGAAAGCTTATTGCTGTAGAGCTGATGGTCATCTAAGCATTTACCAGTTTTATATTTATGCCCTGAGTTATATTTTTATCACTAATCTTTAGTATATCACTAAGAAAGTAAAATTAAACTTAATTTATTTATTATTGTTAGGTGCTGTCAACTAAACAACCCTATGACCAACCAAGGGATATGAACTTTGCCCTATGCTATGCCTGATATACTGGAGCCCATTGTTACAGCTCATTTAAGAACATTGTGTTTCATCAAATACGTCATTTTCATTTAAAATTTCTGTGATAGTGATGTTTTGTCTTTGAATTTACATATAACCACTATAGCAGTCTTGACAAAATTTTGTAACTCTGACCAAACCATAGCCATCAAGTTTAACTCAAAGCAACCCTATTGGACAGGCAAAGCAGGACTGCCTGAAGGGGTTCTAGGACTAGAAATCTTTATGTAAGCAAACTGCAACATCTCTCCTATGGAGTGGTTAATGAGTTTAAACTGACAACCTTTGGGTTAGCAACTGGACACTTTAACAAAACACCACGAGTTGTGAGTCAGCACTGACTCATACCTGTTCCCCCAGGAAATTTTCAGAGGTTGGAAACCACACTAGAGGATATTGCCCATCTTTGTCCCTGATGACAACTCCTGACAGCACAACTCCTTGTCCAGTAGGCCACCACGTAATTCACTATACTGCTGCTGTCATGTCAATTTCAACCCACAGTAACCCTTCTCTGGGTTTCTGAGGCAGTGCATTTTCTTTCCTAATTGTGATTTAAGTAAAGGTTTACAAAGCAAATTAAATTTTGATTCATCATTTCTAACATTTTCTTCAGTAACATTAATTTCAGTACCCACAATATAGTCTTTCTTTTTCACTACCACCCTATTATTCTGATTTCCATTGATCTTTCCATACTTCCCTGTATACCAGTCTTATCTTTCCACTTCTTCCCTTCCCATTCCTGGTAAACCTTTCCTCAGCTCTTTATAGCAGTGGTCTTAAGTAATCCTTGTTCTTTTGTGACTGGCTTGTTTAACTCTGCATTATGAACTGTAGGTGTATACATGGTATGTGTTTCATAATTTTGTAGTTGTTTTTAAGTGTTAACTGTTACACAGTACTCCATTATGTGAATGTACCATACTTATCTATTTTGGATACATTTGTATCACTTTCCTGTTATAAATAATGCTGCAGTGAACATGGGTGTGCATAAATCTGTTCATATCGCAGCTTTTCTTTATAATCTATACTTAGTAGTGCAGTTGCTGAATTAACTAGTACTTCTATTCCCAACTTTCTAAGGAAGTGCCAAAGTGCTTTCCATAGTGCTTGAACCATTTTACATTCTCACCAGCAGTGTGTGAGAGTTCCAGTCTCCCTCCCCAGGTTTTGTTGTTTCCTGTCTTGTTGAGCAGTACTGGTACCCTACCTAGTCCACAGAGTGTTGCACTACTAACCCAACAGCCACACTTCATCATATGCTGCTTCCTGAAATTCTTCTGTTAGCCAGTTCTTTTTGATACAGTGACTCAGTGTATTCCCTCTGTATTCTTTTGATGCTGCCTGCATCATTCAAGATTTTGACCATGAATTCTTCGGGTTGCAACTCAAGGCTTGAATATTTTCTTCAGTTCTTTCAGATTGAGAAATGCCAAACATTTTCTTCCCTTTTAGTTTTCAAACTCCATCTCTTTGCACATTTTATTATAATTCTTTGCTTTGTCTTCTCCAGCTGCCCTTTGAAATCTGCTATTCTGCTCTTTTCAACATTCCTTCCCCTAGTTTTGGCTTCTTGTTATAGCATGTATCATCACTTTGGAGCCAACTCATTCCTAAGCCTGCAGCAGGTTTTCAGAGGCAGTAAATCACACAGGAGGAAATTGCCCATCTTTCTCCCAGGGAGCAGTTGGTGGATTCAAACCGCGTGCCTTTAGGTTAGCAACACAACTTCTTACCGTTAGGCCATCAGAGCTCCCTGGGATTTTAATTTCAGTGCAAATTTCAGGGTCTTTCTGACATCCATTTTGATTTTTTCTTAATTCCTTCCTTTTATAATGAACTTTTGCTTTCTTTGTGAATGATGTCCTTGATGTTATTTATTCCACAACTTTGGTCATTAGAGTTCAGTGCATCAAATCTATTCTTAATATGGTTTTTAAATTCAGTTTTTATACACTTAAAGTCATATTTTAGTTCTTGTGCCTTGTTTTAGTCTTCTTCAGCTGCAATGTAAACTTGCATATGAGTAGTTAATTATCCTTGGCCTGATTTGACTGCTGATATTCAGCTTCTTCCAACAATTCTTTCCATAGATGTAATCCACCTGATTTCTGTGTAGCTAATCAGATGAAGTCCATGTATACAGTCACCATTTAAATATTTTTTTTCTTTTAAGTATTATCATTGTACAAAAATCTATCTGCAGCCTCATTCCTGTCACTAAAGCCATATTTTCCAACTGCCAGTCATTCTTCTGTTTTCTGTTTTTATATTCTAGTAACTATGGTTATTAATACATTTTGATTGCATGTTTAATCAATTTCACATTGCAGGAGTTGGTAGAAATCCTCAATTTCTTCGTCCTTGCCTTAGTTGGTGTGTATATTTGAATAATGGTGTACTAACAAGACTGCATTGTATGTGTATGAATAGTATCCTGTCACTCACAGCATTGTACTTCAGTATAGATCTTGAAATGCTCTTTTTGACAATGAATGCCAAAACCATTCCTTTTCAATCTGTCATTTCTAACACAATATTGTCATGTAATTATCTGAGGCATTGTGTTCCTTTCCAGTCCCACTTTTCAGCTCACTAATGCCTAGGATGGAAATCTTTCAGCATTCCATTTTAGTTTTATCCAACTTCACATTTTCCTAAGATTCATAGTTCTTACATCCCATGTCCCAGTTATTATTGGATGTTTACAACTATTTCTCCTCATTTTGAGTCTTGCCATGGCAGCAAATGAAGGTCTTTCATTGGGTGAAAGCTTCCTTCTAACCTCATGCTTAGAGTAGACTCTAGTTTGGGGAAGCAGCTTTTCCCCAATTGTATTTTGTGTGCCCTCCAGGCTAAGGGGCTTATCTTATAGCACTCTATTCCAACAATGTTCTTCCCTTGTCCATACTGTTTTCAAGGGCCTGTTGTCAAGAAGATAGCCATTCCTCCTATCTACTGAACTTAGAAAAGTTTTATGTTTTTGTCTTGGGCAACAAGTGCATGATAGTGGCATTCTTTGAGATAAGGATAGGATAGAAAGTAGACTAGGAAAGAGGAGATTGGGTTTGGACATGATAATTTGAGATTGGATTAATTTAAGGTTTACCATTTTTTATAACCTCCTTAGGATGATCATTCAGAGGTCAAGCCAACACACATCATCTTTGGTTCTGACAGTGAAAGTGAAACAAGAGAGACATCTGTTCGAGAACAGAACCATCCAGAAAAGGAGCTTGTGAAGGTAAGAAGTTAGGACATTGCTATAAGCAATCATTTTTGTTTGTTGCATAATAAGACCTCCATAAAACTTGCAGTTTCTCTATGAGGTTGTCCTGGGAACTACTGTGCAATCCTATGTTCTCCAGATCCCCATACACTGATACTACAAGTGTCTTGGAAATTTTTTTTCTCCATGACTATATTACTCAAACTATCTGAAAAATTAATTCACTACCACCATTATGCTAGACTGTACTGAAGATCCTCTGGATAAGTGAGATCATCCCTCATTCATGGCTGACACTGCATTGATTCAGAGACAGAATTGCATGGGAGGAGGTTGCCCATGTTTCTCTCACAGAACCACCAGAGAGACACCGCCTTTGGGTTCACAGTACAGCTCCCTACACACTACACCCCTAAAGCCCCTGAATATTGTCAAATGTCAGTTAAATACTAAAACAGGAATTTATGTTCTGGCCTAGATGGATGGGCATTTGTGAGAAGTATAAAGTATATAAATCATAAAAGTATATATTGATTACTCACTAATGTTTGGGTTTTTTTCTCTTGATCAACTTGAAAACAGTTCATTTCGAAAACATCTGGGAAGCTATTTGATAGCAGCAGTGATGAGGACTCTGATTCTGAAGATGACAACAAGAGGTTTAAAATCAAACCTCAGTTTGAAGGCAGAGCTGGCCAAAAGGTTAGTAAAAACTAAAAATAATAAAACTTCTTTATTCTACGCAGTTCTTTGACCAAGATAGTACACAAGCCTTGGCAAGCATCCAGTGTTGAGATATTTTGGAAGTACTCTCCTTTTCTATTAAGTCATGGATAGGTGTTTGTATTGAAACATTAGTGGACTTTAATGCTCGGGGAGAAGTTTGCCTCTTAATTGTCTTGTATTTTTTCTGTAGCTCATGGATTTACAGTCTCACTTTGGCACTGATCATCGATTTCGCATGGACTCTCGATTTCTAGAAAGTGACAGTGAAGAGGAACAGAAAGGTAACTATCTCCATATCCAAACCAGTCATGAGGTCAAAGGAGGTGGAACCCTTAGATGTCATCTAGTGTGCCTCCTTCACTTAACAAATTCAACTCTCTACTCAAGACATTTAATTGAGGAGCTAATTTAATATTCCTCAGATTAATTTGCATTTATTAATTTGCTTAGAAACACATAGTTACTTGAAGCCGCCAGAAAGATCAGGAAATGGGTAGCCTAAGCCTAGTTCTGTTTTTAACTCCATCCCAACCCTGTCATAACACAAACACCCACATCAACAAAAGAACATGTGCTGCCTAAAGACACAGAAACAGTTAAGGTTATACTTGGCTTTCTAAAAAAGAAAGCATTTGTTTAGGTGCAGAAAAGCACTGCAGCATTGATGTTTTTTCCTATCAGTAGTCTAGATTTTTTTCTTCAAGATGTTCTCTTATTTTTAAAGAACTTTACCCTCCAACTTGGCAGGGGTGGCCACATGTAATGAGCTCCCTCAAATTCTTCACCTCAGATTTCCATATCCTTACTCCTAATGCTTTTGGTTTTTTTTCCTTTTCTTTCTTGAGTTATATCTGTCAGTACCTTAATCCTCCTTATTCACACTTCCTTTATCCTTTTCATGTGCATCCTTCACTTTTCTTTTAGTTCCTTCCTTTTTATCAACAGAGTTGTCTTGTGGGGTTGAAAAAGACATTCTTTCAAAATACCAGTTTTCTAGTTGCCACATCATTTCTTCCTTCCTTCCTTTGTTTTTTTGTTTCTTTTTGGCAGAAGTAATGGGGTTAGGAGAGACTCATGTATGTGACAAGGTCTTTGCCTCTTCAGAATTCTTCATATAAATAAGGGCATGCAATATTTGCCCATCTGTTGTTGTGTATTGTATCTTCTTTTTTTCTTTAACTAATAATAGTTAATAATTTATCTTAATGAGTAATATTCTGTTTTGTGTTTTTATCACTTTTTCTATGTCCATTCATATGTTGATGGCTGTTTAGTTTGTTTTTATCTTTTGGCCATAGTAACTATGCTGCAGTGAATATTGCTGTATCTGTTTACATTCCTTCTTTGCATACCATTTTCTCTTTTTTATGTCAATGTTTGAAATGAAAAATTATATCTAATTCAATCATTCCTACCCTAGGTATACTTTAGGAATACCATCTCTGAATTTATTATTATCATTATTGTTTGAAGTAATTATTAAATGGTACATTTCAAAAATATACTGATGATACATGACAGCAACGGAATGAATTCCTTAGTTCTTCAGAGTCCCCATGGTGAACCTTAGAAATTATCTACATTTAGAAGCTGAATGCTATGGTTACACTCGTATCTTCAGGTACCTTTGTCAGCCTCCTTACAAGTCTTGTGATTATATATATATATTCCCTCATAGCTATGGATAATTTGTTCACTAAGTAAAGTGGTGATTTTTCCTCAGCCAACCTGTAATATTTCACTATTAACCTTCCCTTTACTTTGATTTAGTGAGCCCTAGTGCCTGACCATAAGGTCAGTCCCTCAAATCCACAGGACACATCATGGGAGAAGGCTGGACAAGCTCTTCTTAAAAAGGTTTACACCCTTTCCTGGTGTGACTGTCCCAGGAAATGCCTAGTGTCCCAGGCCTGGGCGCCATGGTCTCCTCAGCTGCTCAGATGGCATCCAAAGCCCCAGGCTGGGCACCCGAGGTCACCTCACTTCAGAGGCCAGTTTTCCCCTTGGGACAAAGTAGCAGAAGTTCTGCCGAGAACTGACAGGCTGAGGTAGAATTCAGTCAACAATGCATTAGCGCCTCCTGGGTGCCCACCAGACTTAGGTGCTGTGGGACAGGGAATGAACAAAGCACAGCACCTTGCCCTAACGAGGTGTCCATTCTGAGAGAAGACACAGCAAAATAAGTGAATAAGTTGTGCATTTACTGCTTCGGTGGTGTGTTAATCACTCATATGGAGCTGTGTGCCAGAGTTCAGTGGCCTGGAACAGGTGCACTTTATTAGTCTTCAAACTGACATCATTGCTCCTCTGTAACTTGGAGAGGTCCCTGGCAGACTGCAGAAAAACAGAAGAAGTGATGGGTTTGAGCTGTAGTGTTGGAGAAGAGTACTAAATATCCCATGAACAAGAACAAACTGATATGTCTTGGAGAAAGTGCAACCAAGATGCTCTTTAGAAGCAAGGATGGTGAAGAGAGGCTATTCCTTAGAGAAAGACATCATGCTTGGGAAGGTGGAGTGTTGGCAGAGGAGAGAAAGACTTCCAGCAAAGTGGATTGACACAGTGACTGCAGCAACAATGGCCTCAAGTATTATTTGAATTGAGACCTGAGTTTTTAGAGGGGATCCACTCTGCCAGAGCTTGGAAGGCCTTTCCAGGGGAGGAAACTGCAAACACAAAGACCCAGGACTACCGCTGGCTGCTGAACTGTGGAAGACCTATGGTGTTGCTCTTCCAACCCAAAGGCAACCAGTTTGAATCCACCACCTGCTTTACAGGAGACAGATGGGCAGTTTTGTTCCCCTCCTTGTTTTGTTTAAAGCCTCTGAAAACCTGCTGGAGGGTCAGCTCTGAATTGGTACCTATGCATTGGCAATGAACAAGATTGGTCATTAACATATCCAACATTGTTTAGTGATGCATGGACCTAGTTGTCCCTGTCCCTCTACTACCTGATGAGCTAGCCACAGGAGTCTTGGGGAGAGCCAATTCCTGTGCACTTGGATCACATCTCCCCAACCCTAGTCCTTGCACGGGCCCAACAACCAGAAGTTCTAATGGAAGCATGGGCGATGAATACAATGAAATGCCCACAGTCCTTTTGAGAAACACATACTTTAGAGTTGAGTACAGTCTCTTACAATGGGGGTTTGGATCACACTATTCTCATAAACCAGTTTTGGATTTTTTTTGTTTGTTTTTGAGGGTTGTGTTTTGTTTTTTGTTTATTTTCATAAACCAGTTTTGATATAAACCGAATACTTTTTTCTTTATTTTTCAAGTTTTTGTTAGCATTGGCATTTCCCTCCATTCTGATTGACCTTTATTATCTGTTTGTTTTTTGTTTTTTTTAATTTAGGTTGTTTATTTTTCATTTCAATGAACATCTACAGAGATTTTGGAATTCCATTCATTCATTGTTGCACCCTTCTCCCCGCACAAACCCCTCCCCCCTCCCGTTTGCTCCTCTCCTTGAAAAGCAAAAGAAAAACTCCCTCATTGGTACACAATCCCTCCCCCCGCACCTCCCCAAACCCCACTCCCTACCCCCAAATATAATCCACTCTGCAACCCTCATTGCATACTCCTACGATAAAAATAATGCCCTAAAATATAATACTTTTAGACTATTCTCTATTATCTGTTTTTTAAATCGTAAGGGGGCACTTTGGTAGCAGAGCCTGCAGGGAGTTGCACTGCTAAGCGAGAAGGCTGTTTCTCCGGCAATTCAGCTTTCCTTGTGGGAGAAGGACGGGCCGTCACCTCCCAAAAGACTTACAGCGTAAAGGGCAATGAGTGAGGCTTTTGGGATGGTGTTTGTTTTTTAAATAAATGATAACTTTGTGGGGAAAATTATTTACATCCTGAGAGACCAAAACGGATGGTTGCTGTTGAGTCCAAATCAGGTCAGCAGTGATGAGTTTATGATTTGTTATTTTTACTTCCATTACAACTCCCAGCTTTCTTCCCAAGTCTCATGGTTCCTAATTCTTTCTGTGCCTCCAGATGCGAACTCATCCCAGAATGTCCCTGCGGCATTAGCCTCCAGTTACACATGGTGTTTCCCAATGCTGAATCTCTTTTGTCCCTGACCTCTCTTGGGGCGCTCATCTTACTTTCTCATGGTTTCTGAGCCCTTTGAGCAGTGTTCTATGTCTGTTAATGGAAATTACACTCTTAGAGCAGTCAGGCATATCTTTTGTTCTTTCTCCATTTTCAATCTGTTACTTGAACTTGTCCTTCTAGCATTATATTTTCCTTCTATCATTAGGTATTCTTATGTTAAAATTGAAATAACCTGGGAGGGTAGAGAAAAAAGTGCAACAATGAATGAATGGAAATTCAAAATCTCTGTAAATGTTCATTAAAATTAATAAAATAAATTTTTTTTTAAAATTGAAATAATTTACTTTAAAGTCACACATTGTTGACTACAATCAGTTCAAATGATTTGACCTTTGGATTTTCCACTTTACTTTCCTCACTCAGTCATTCATGAATAGAACAGGCCAGACTTGCCAGAAAAATCCTTAAGGAACTCATGTTCTGTGTCCCTTCCAAAACTCTTGGTGTAAAATTGGTGGACTCCTCTGCCATAGGTATGAGTTCTATTTTTCATTCTTCATGCAACTCAAATCTTCGAAGAGACGCTTTATGATCATTTAGAAGCATCTTATTCACATTTTTCAGTAGCTCTTTCAGCCACTTCCTTTATGTCAAAATTAACAAATTCTGCCAACCATCTCCATCATGAATTGCCTTCCATCAAAGGATATTACCAGAGGAGAAAATACACCTTACAGTACTTTTTTATCAGTATATTTATATAAATTTTTTATAAATATGCTGCCCCCTCCACTTTAATTAGCGATGGATCATGCTGAGGGCATATAATGTATACTGGTTGCCCTTTACAGCATCAGAATTTATTTTGGTCAGCCTGCCCTTTCTCAGATTGCAGACTGTGGGCAGGATGGGCTCAGATGTAACAGAACTTCTAAGCATCATGTCAGTGTTGTCCTCTTTGTAGAGTAAGGCCAGGATGTAGCTGGGGTTCTCTGCATGCTTGCCTGCAAGGCCAGTGGCCACAGCCTTGCCATGAGAGGAAAACAGAACCGGGATGAACACAGAGGCATTCAAACTACTCAGCAGCGACAGAACCAGAGCTCTGTCCCATCACTGCTGGATCCTGACTACCAGCTGAGGCACAAAGTGGCTGTGTCTTTCTGGGCAGCAGAGAGTGTTGGTGTCCTGCTTCCTTCATGGGGCTGCTATAGGTCAGGTGTGGAGCAAAGAGGCAGGTCTCACCTGCTTCGCTGGGTTGTTTTTAAAGGGGGTGGGGAGGAAGTCTCCAGTGGGAGACACGGATGTTTTTATAAACTTTTTTGTTGCTTTTAAAAACTTGTTTGTTTTTTAATAAATAACCTGTATTTCAAACCTGGACCAACACTCTCCACACTAACCCCTGGGAAGGGGCATTGGGAATTAGTAAAGCTGTGTTTCCCTTTGAGTTACTGACTGTCCTTTCCCTCGTAGAGACACGTGAAAAGAAAACCGCAGAGGAAGAAGAACTTGCTGCAGAAAAAAAGAAAGCACTGGACATTATGCAGCATGTTTTAAACACCACCTTGAGCAGTTCTATAAGTACAGGATCAGTAACTGCAAAGAGATTCAAGTATGGATTTTGTTTCACCCCATTACACCATATGTTCCTTTATCATAAATGACTTCTTGAACTCAGTTTGAAACTAGTTAATTGTAAATTCTGTAGAATTCTGTCAGAGACAGGATTTCTAGCAGAGTGACTGAAAACCCTGATAAATGTGCTTAACTTTTACTCATGTGAGTGATTCACTTAAGTACATTCATTCTAGAGAAATCACTTCTAAGTGTATACACTTAGCTATTACTACAGTATTGCTTCCCTTAGTAAAAACAATGGAATGAAGGAATATGCTGTAACTTGGACTAATTCTTAAACTGTTGCTGTCAAGTCAGAACCATGTCATAATTGATCTTCCATTCATTTCAAAGGCAATAAATCTCAGGAGATTACTTATGTTTCACCTGCCGAGAGCCTGCTAAATTTGTAGCCCAGGCAACCATAGCTCAGTGTAACTTATACAGTTAATATTAGCTATTTTAAATAGTCAGAATGCAGTTCATGGTATAGTTTTTATTTCTATGAAAATATATCTGGTAAATTTAGGCAATTTTAATTTTTGGATTTAAACTGTTTAGTAAGATTCTCTGGTGACCTGGTCTAAAGGGAGTTTTGCTGCTAACTTAAAGATACCACATCTCTGACAGTGCATTGAGTTTGATTATAAAAATGTCACACTTATGTAAGATAGAGCACTAGTATAATCTTGGCATTCTGGTGACCTAGTGGTAAGAAGCTGCACTGTGATCCCAAAAATTTAAATCCACCAGCTGCTTCACAGAAAATGGATGGGTAGTCTCCTGTGCACTTTACAACTTCTGAAAACCTACTAGAGGGTCAGCTGTGAGTCAGTTCCACCTCATTGACACACAGCAATGGAATCTTTTTTTTTTTTTTAATTATTATTTTGTGTGTCTGTGTACCGTCAAATCAGATCTGACTGGTACAGAAGGATATTGTCCCTCCTTTCCCGGCAGAGCATCTGGTGGATTCGAACCATGCGCCTCTGGGATTGCAGTGCAGCTTCTTGCCACTAGGCCACCAGAGCTCCCCTACAGCAATGGAATCTTAATGAAAGCAGATTGCCATGTCTGTCTTCTGTCATAAGAAGCTCTTATAGTTAAATAGGGTGTACTTGCCAACCCAAAAGCACACTATTCAAATCCATGGTGGGACTAAGATGGGCAGTTTCCTCCTGTGCAATTTTCAGCTTCTGAAAACCCACTAGAGAATCACCTGTGAGGTCATGGGGGGAGGGAGCTCCTCTGGCAGCGTTGTCTGGAGGGAGTGGCACTGGTAACCCAAAGGCCTGTAGCCTCTGGTACTTTGTATACACCACAGCTCTGCAAGAGAGAGAAACACTCTCTTCCCTTTACCCTTCACAGCCTTGGAAACCGATGGAAGGTTGCTGAGTCTGAACCAACTCACCAGGCAGTTTGAGATTGAAGTAATGTAATGAAACTGCCTACTATCATCCAGATTCTGTAGTTATGAACAAGTGACCAGTGTTCCCATCAATATCATTAGCTGCTTTATCCTGCCTGCCACCAGAATGTTTTATGCAAATCTCAGATATGATAGTTTTATCTGTATATATGTTATGTTTAAAATTTTAGCATTAAAAAAGATAAAAATAATGTATACAAACTTTTGTAAGTAAACCAGTATAAAATAATTTTTTTTAAAGATACGAAGAAAATCAACTATAACCATGTTTCTCAAAAGCTCAGTAGTCATCATTGTTATTTATTCCCACCTACCTCAAAATTAAAATTTCCCTCGTTTTGAATTATAATTGCCTATTTTTGACGTCTGTGTTCTGATTTATGCCTTCTGACTTCTTTTTTTTATATAGAGATGTCATACATTATGATCCAACAAGACATGACCATACCACCTTTGAAAGAAAAAGAGATGATAAGCTAAAAGAAAGGTAAATTTACAACTTTTCTTGCTTAAAAGATATGAATTAACATAGTTTCAAGCAGTGAGAAAAGTGAGGGGTAATCAATACGCAGATCATGAGGATGGTGCAGCATAGAGCAAGGTTTCTTTCTGTTGTTAAGGGTTGTTACGAGTCACAGTCGACTCAACAGCACCTAACAACATCAGTCCATCCGTATAGTATTTAATTTAAGACCAGGGGAGAAGAAAAAGTAGGCTGGGCTACAGGCTTTTTATCTGCTTTCTGCTATGGGGCTGTGAGAGGCACTCCTGGCCCTTTCAAAAAGGTATTCATGGACCTGTGCTCTCATGTTCTCTTTTTCTGCTTTCTAGAAAGCTCCCAAACAAAAGGCAGGAAGTTCAAATCCACCAGCTACTCTGAGAGAGAAAGATGGGCCGCCTCCTGCCACTCAATTTACAGCCTCTGAAAAATCCAGTTGAGGGCCAGGAGAAACATTGCAATAGATAGTGAAAAGATTAGGGAATTTTCTTCTAGCAAATCTTCAACAATTTTTGGGAAGGAAATTTTCTTCCAACAAGTCTTACCTTCCCCTGCTTTTCTGTTTTGTTTTATCTCTTTCTGTTCCAAGTTCCAGTGCCAAGATTCCTTTTGAAGATTTTCCACGTAATTTTTATACTTTCTTATTTTTTTCCTTCTTATTCTGATTGTTCTTCTAACACATTACTGTTGAAGAACTCACACTCCACCTTACTAATTCTGTATGTTACTATTTTAATTCTACTCTTCTTTTATTTCTTCATTTTCTCGAGCCATTGAAGGCATTTAAGTACCTTATCATTAAGGTTGAATAGCATTGCTTCCTTCAGAAGATATTCTGGTTCTGTATTTTGGTCACTTCTTCATTCCATTTTGTCCTGATTTTTTTAATGAGTTAGTTATCTGCTGCTTTCTATTCAGTTTTCTGTTTGTATTCTTTTGTTTTGATATATTTGACTCAGCTTGCTAGTTTGGCAATTTTTGGTCTTTCACCTCTATCTTCTGCCTCATGTGGTAGAAGATGGAACTGTATGTGCTATTCACTGTTTACAACAGTGAGGGCAAACTGGATCAATGTTAGTTACTGTCTGTGTTTAATTAGGTGGAGCAGGAGCCGATCTCTAGTTTTATCCACTGGGTATATCTGTAGAGATATGTGTGTTATTGGGTTATGTGGATGCTATTGCTGGCTGTTTTCAGTTGGGAAAAGCAGAAACAAAGCAACAAAAAACCATGATTGGGCAGTAAGAGAAAAACCAACATGAAAAGGAACAAGAATCAGAATAGAAACAAAAGAGTAAAAAGGAAGCATGAAGAAGAGAAAGTGAGAAGAAATGGGGGAAAGGACATTAGTGTCATGATAAAACCTTAATGCTACTTAGAAGTGAGGGTAGTGAAGAGAAAATGAGAAGAAACAAGGGTGTCATAAGGCTACAATGCTTTTTTTAGAAGTGAGCATGGTAAGGCTCTGTCTTCCTACTTTGGACATGTCATCAGGAGAGATTGATGACTACAAGACGACATCATGTTTGAGCAGAATGGCCACAGCGGTAGGCTTAAGCATATTAAAGCTCATCACAGATGGTATAGAACCAAACAGAGTTTCCTTCTGTTGTCAGTAAGAAATACCTTGAGTCACAGCCTACTCAGTGGCAACAGTGACAAGCAGCAGGCGGGACAGCAGCTTCTCCCTGCACATGCAGAGTAATTTCTTTTTTTTTTTTTTTTTTTTAGTAATTTCTTTTCATATGCGACACTTCTGCCTTCTTCTCCCTGCTCTGCTTAAATCTCCTATGTGGGAGACTTCTCAATAGCTTCACTCTAGCTTTAGGACTAAAAATAGACTCCTTGTATCAGGCTCGACAGTGTGTGGAGCTTACATACTTTTTCCAGCCTTGATTTATGTCATACCCCGTGCTTCCTCCTCTCTCCAGCACCTATACCTTCCTGGCACAGTGCCTAGCCACAAGTTTTCTCACTGTCTAAGATATCTTTCTTAGTTTACCCCTACTTGTTTTTCAGGTTTCTGCTCAAGCATTAACAATTCTTTCTATGTTCTGGCTGATACTCTTCAAAAGTATTATATAACCGTCCTTTTAACACAGCTGCAATTTTTTTTAAATTTTATTTTATTATTATTTTTTTGTGCATGTACCGTCAAATCAGATCTGACTGATACAGGAGGAAATTGTCCCTCCTTCTCCGGCAGAGCATCTGGTGGATTTGAACCATGTACCTCTGGGATTGCAGTATAGCGTCTTGCCACTAGGCCACCAGAGCTCCCCGCAGCTGCAATTTTTATTATACCTGTCATTGTTTTGTTAGAATCCAACTTCTCCACTTGACTATAAATTCCTTAAAGTCTAAGGATTTTTTACTTCAATACCTATATAGCAGAGAGCATATGGTAAACATTAACTGAATGAAAGAGTAATAGTCAGATATAAAGTCTATCTTTTAATAAATACAAGCCAAAATAATGATGTCATTCTTTCTGACAAGATTATATTTACTTAAAACTTATAGGATGCTCTCGTGCCCTGGTGGCAAGAAGCTGCACTGCAGTCCCAGAGATACACAGTTTGAATCCACCAGATGCTGTGCTGGAGGAAAGAGGGGCAATCTCCTCCTGTACCAGTCAGATGCAATTTGACAGTACACACACAAAAAATAATAAAAAAAAAGAAAAATAGGAACTCTTAACAGTTTTAAATTTACTTTTTAAATTTTATTTATTTTTTTTATTTTATTATTGCTAGGTAATGTATTTTACAATTTTTTTTAAAAATAGGAACTCTTAAAATAAATTTAAAACTGTAAGAGTTCCTATTTTTCTTTTTTTAAAGAGTTCCTATTTTTCTTTTTTTTTAAGAGTTCCTATTTTTAAAAAAAATTGTAAAATACATTGCCTAGCAATAAACTCACTTAATTCTGAATACTCTCTGGGTTCTGTTATTATAGAACAAGTCAGTGGGTGACAGCTATATATCAGCCCAAAATAAATGCTTAAAATAGAAAATAATAAATACTTAACAATGACAAAATAAAATGGAGCAGAAAAGTGATAACATAAAACTAAAAATGGTCAAAACAACTATGAGATATTATCTCATCCCAGTAAGAATAGCAAAATTCAACATAGCGGCAAACAACAGATGTTGGCAAGGTTGTGGGGAAACTGGAACCCTTATTCATTGTTGGTGGAAGTGTAAAATGGTGCAACCACTATGGAAGGCAGTATGGCACTTTCTCAAAAAGTTGGAAATAGTAATACCATTTGAACTAGCAGTTCCACTACTGGAAATATACCCTAAAGAAACCATAACTGCCACCCAAGCAGCTATATGCACACCCATATTTATTGTGGCTTTGTTCGCAATAGCAAAAAGAAGGGATAAATAATGTACACAGCATTGAATCAGATGAGTGAGAAAACTGTATAAAAAGAATACATGATTAGGTATTATTGGCATGATGAGAATCCAGGAAAAAAGTGGCATAGTAAAGTGGTTGGGGGAAGGGGGTGTGGACTGTATAACAATGAGAGAACTTTGTTCCCAAAGAAAAAAGCCAACTGGGAGTGGAGGAGACAGGGAGGAAAATGTGCAACACTGTATGAATGGAAATCCAAGTTCTTTATAAACTTTCATTAAAATCTCTATTTTAAAAAACCTAAAGATGTTCCGTTTGTAGAACATACTCAAAATAAACTTTGTGCAAAATACTGAAGTATAAACACTGAAACTGTAAACTACTTGAGGAAATACAGGAAAATATTTAACTGATTGCCGAGTGTGGACTTACTAATTAAAAAGGAAAAAATCATTGATTACATTAAAAATTTGAAAGAGTCTATGTTACAAAGACCTTAATATTAACAAAATCTATAAGTGAGAACAATACTTTCTGTAAGCATAGGAGTGAAAGTGGCAAAGAATAAAAATCAAACAGGCATAGATCAACTAAGTAACAAGTAAATTAAAAAAGAAGCAAAGACACCAGAAGAGAGGAGGAAGTGGGGTCCTGGAGGGCTCACGGGCTCCGTCTCTGACTTGTTCTTGTCACTGCTGTGGTAGTTGGAAGTGTGTGTCTGGTCTAAGGCAGCCTCTGTGCCAGCCCAGTGGAGAACTGGTGTGGAGGTGCCAAGTTGGAGCAGAATTTCTGCTCAGCTGAGAGCTGACTGAGAACCCAAGGATGCCAAAGTACAGGCATCACCTCTGCCCATCTGGGTGCATTGGTTTGGGACACCTGGCCTTGGAGATGGGCCACTGTTGTCCTCAGTGGTGTCAGGGATGGTATGTGCAGTCCAGGGAATTAGATGCATTCAGGGTACTTCACTGACAACCCAGGATGCCCAAAGACAGCACAATCTTGGAGTTCTGCTGCTGTAAATATCTGTGTGGTGTCTGCCAGGTAAACAATCCACAAGGACATATCTTATTGGATCTTTAGAGAGGCTGTGGCCCAGGTGGTGCCTCTAGTCCATGGTCTAGCTATCGACCAGGAATAGAAGTCTGCTGACCTCTGAAAACAGCAAGTCTTTGAATGTGGACTGTGTCCATGCTCTTGGTACAGGCTACAAAATGATATTATCTAGCATGAGGTCAGACTGAGACATAGTAATGCTGCTAACCACTTAGCAGTTAATGAGCAGTGAGGAGGAGGATGATATGCATCTCCATTGTCATCAGCCAGCTTGATAGTGTAGAGAGTTTCACAAGATCAAGTTTCTGGATGCAGAACCAACTCATAGCTGAGCCTCCAGCAGATTTGCAGAGGATGTAAATTGAAAGAAAAGAGATTGCCCATCTTTCTTCTAGAGGATTCAGACCATCAGAGAGGCACCACCTTTGGTTTAGCAGCACAACCCCCTACTGAGTATGCCGCTAGAGCTCATTCTAACCAAGAAAGCATCATGCCTAAGTGTGAAAATAACTGTGCCTTGTTGTTTTGGTTTTTATTAATTTTAATGAAAGTTTACAGAGACTTGGGGTTTCCAGTCATTCATTGTTGTACTTTTCTCCGTGCCCACTCCCTCCCCCCAATTCACTTTTTTCCTTGATAAGTAAAAGAAAGACTCTTCCATTGCTATGCCATATTTATAATCATCATCTATTTATAATCACTGCTCCATCTACCTCCTTAGTCAGTGCCTTCGTTGTGTTTCTTCCTTAATTTGTTTGAATTACTTCATTTCCTTTGATGCTTGGGATTTCCATTATTGTCATTCATATCTTTACCTGTTTTCTGGTCTTAGTTGTACTAGGGAGGCTGGACAGCTATCTGTCTAGTCTGCCATCCTGCCCTGAAGCCCAAGACTGTCAGAAATGTGCGTGCAGCTTCCCTGGGAAATTTTAACTCAGGCTTCTTTTAGTTTCAGTCAGAATGGCTATATTCTAAAGGTTGGCTGGAATAAACAACCTTTATCCAGATAGCTCGCGCATGTAGCTGTTAGTCGTCCACACAAACTCAGCCAGGTTCAAAGCCATTGTCAGACTCACTGCATCAATCCATTGGGGTCTTACTCTCTCTTACAGACTGATCTTTCCCAGCATGGCTTTTTTTTTCCAAGGACTGGTCATCTTGACAACATGCCCAAAATATGTGAGGTGCAGAGTCACTAGCCTTGCCTCCTGATTGCACTTCCTTCAAGACATTTTGGTTTATTTTAGCAAAACCAAAGACTGAGGCCCCTGAACTGAGAAAAATCTGTGAAATTTTAATTACTCAAAGCTATAATCTTAGGTGTCATATTTGAAATAGGGATTGGAAGTTGAGATACAAGAATATCTCAATCTACAACCAGGAGAAGATAAAATAGATGAATGGCACCTTCTAAGAATCAAATCCCTATGCACATCCAAAAACTTCTCCAACAGGGTAAAAAGGGAAGCCACAGCCTGGGAAAAAGTGTTTGGTAATGACATGTCAGATAAGGGACTGGTATCTAGAATTTCTAAAATACTTGAGCACCACAACAAGATAAAGGTAAATAATCCAGTAGAAAAACAGGCACAGGAATACATTCAGATGGCCACCAAGCACATGAAGAAATGTTCCAAACCCCTAGCTCTAAGAGAGGTGCAAATCAAAACAACTGTGAGATATCATCTCACCCCAGTCAGAATAGCAAAATTTAAAAGAACAGCAAGCAACAAATGCTGGCGAGGTTGTGGAAAAACTGGAACCCTTATTCACTGTTGGTGGGAATGTAAAATGGTGCAACCACTGTGGAAGGCGGTATGGCGCTTTCTCAAAAAGTTGCAAATAGAGATACCATTTGACCCAGCAATT